TGTCATTGATCTACTTGGAATTCATTTTACAACTTCTGAGTTATGAGAGAGACTGGACCTTGCAAATTGTATGAGCGCCTCATGGCCGCCATTTCCTATGGGCGGTACTTGAGTTCGCTACAGCAGACGACGCGCTGTAGGCGACCGCAGCGAACAAAGATGTGCTTGGAGACAGCTCTGAATGCCTTCAAACCGCGGACCATTTCCCTTCTCGCCATAGTGGTTACAATTTCGACCGTGAATTGTAGACCAGTCGAAGAAACACCATCAGAGGGAGAACCTTTATCCGTCGCCGATGGCTATATTCACTACTCTGTCGCAAATGATTCGAGGTTACGGGAGATATCGCGGAAGGCGTTCGAATCGCTGATCAGCGAACCCGTTGTGAAGCAGGACTACTCCTCACAAGAAATTATTTTTCGACCACATTCTCAAATCACAGAGGACCCTGAAAATCCTGATCTGACTTTGAAAAAACACAAAAAGCCAGGTACTTCTTGTAACCTTATTTATTTTCTTTAGCAACTTGCTGTAAATCAACGGAATACATTTAGTTTTTGAAGGTGTCTTGATCATCCTTCGCAGCTAGTCTGAACCTCCTTTTGATATTTTGGCATATAGAAGGGCTTATATACCATAATAATTGATTTTTTCAATTTCTTATGGAGCGGTAAAGAATGTTTACTGTGCTTTAGATTGACAGTCGCTCGCCCGTGGTGGTCAGAAATTGACATACAGTAGCTAAGATGTAAAAAAGATGTTCAGTAGCAGCACACGGATAGCTGCTCACAACCAGCGAACAGCAAATCCTAACACCTATTTATGTGACTCTTGGCGTAGTGATTTGTCAAAAACCTATGCTTGCAACTTCTAAATCGCAGTCTTGACTGAGCACCATGTTTTTTAGAATAGGTTAAGACTTTCGCATAAATTAGCCATTGGAAAAGCAAACAAAAAATCTATTATAAGGTACAATTGCTCTAATTTTCTGATCAATGTTATATATTTTAGAGTCTTGTCGTTTATCCTTTTTCATTTCAATATCGTACAATTTCAGTTCATTGCATAAGGTTGGTCTTGGCTCAAGGGTTACCTTTTTGATCTAC